CCCCAAAACCCCAAAACCCCAAAACCCCAAAACCCCACTATGCTAAAAAATAATATACATTTTTCTCAAAATTAAATCTATTTATAATATGCAAAAAAACTTAATTAATTGTTTGTTATAATAGTAATATTTAAATTTTGAATCAAAGTATGAATACGACTAAAGTAGCATAGAAAAATCACATAAAATTAGCTTAAAACTACTCAAGAAATGGCAGTTAGGTGAGAGGACCACGCTCAGGTAGTGCAGCAAACAGTGGCTAATCTACTCCTTGCAATTCTAATGTTATTCTTAACCAAGCTCATCTTTCAGCAAGTGGAGGAAGTGGCTCATCCCAACTTTATCCAATGGCAAGAAATGGCTCAGCTTAAATTTTCAATTTCCAATATGGGCAGGGTAAACGCGATTCTATTAACTCAAACGGCAGTAATGGTTAAAGACTTAATAGTCTTTGCAATTAAGAAGCTAATAATACAAAGGCTTTATCACATAAATTACTCGAAAGAATGAATATTTTATAGTCGCATTTGGATGTTATCGGCCAAAACACAGCTATCCACGAGCCTTAATTTAGATAATTCTACTCTAAATTTGAGGAATAGACTGTTAATATGTTTAGCTAAGGTTAAAATAATGAAGAGCAAAATTCTAATTAAAATGGAAACTATCCAATTAAAAAGCATAAAGAGACTTTAGTGGGCTTAAAGAAAGAAGACTATGATAAACTTATGAGAGATTACAATGAATTAAAGTAATGCCTTTGTAGCAGTAAAAGTACTTTAGATAAATAGGTTAATGATCTTACTTCAATGGCAAATGATGTTGAGTAACATGTAGTATATTAGCAAGAATAGCAAGGCATTTTGATAAAGGACCTTGAATTAAGACTAAAGGGGCATTTTATTTAGTAGACTTAATAACTTGATAAATTAATTGATAGTGACTATCAAGAGTTGATGAGCTAATATATTGAAATAATGGAAGATTAAATTGATCAAGAGTATCAAGAAAATGAGTAGTAAATCAGCTTGATTGAGTAATGTATCAATTAAATTGAAGAGGAAAATGATTAGAGACTTTAATAAATTGAAAATATATTAAATGATCTAGACGACCTTTAATTATAATAATAAAGCTAAAATGACCCTCTAAAAGAGCAGCTTTAAAATTGGATGAGCTCTTAAATTTGTCAATTCTAATAAAACTTTGATAGAGAACTTTAAGGATACTATCAAAAGAAAGTTATAATGCTTAATGAAGAGCATTAAATCATTTAAGAGCAGCTAAGGTCTGACATAAAGCAGGCAGAGCATAAATTGACTATAAGACAATCAGATACTCATTCTATATAAATTAATCAGTAGCAGGAATTAAGCAGCCGATCTAGTTCTGTTTAAACTAGACTTAGAAACGCATCTTAGTAAAAAGAAAATCAATAAGATAATCAGTAAAATCGATAGAGCTATAACTCTGCTACAAGGGAAAGTAATATATCTTCGAATTCAAATAAAAGTCAGAACTTTAAAAGCAAAATTCAGATCCTGTAGACTGATCTAAAGAGATTAGAGTAATATGCTGTAAAGACTGCTGATCATATTGGACTGCAATAGGAATAGCTGCTGGATCAAATGCACTCCTAGATAACTCATCAAGACAAGTAAAATCTGCTTAATTAACTGTTGAGTATAAAGAAATAGATGGAAAGCAGGAAAAAATAATGCGAGAATAGATATCAGGATCTATAGCAAGAACTTTATGAATTATTAAGGATGAAGAAGCAAACACTTGATGGCAGCAATAATATAAATAAAACATTAAATGACAATCGTGAGACATTTCAGTCAATCGAATATATAAATGAGCACATGGAAGTACTCTAAAAACATATTAGTAATACACAAATATCGCTGGTTAAACAGATTAATGCTCTAAGTCTGTAACTTAATTAATATTGATTGTGGTTGACAGAAGTTTGATAGAGAACTCTCAAATTTGTTTAATATAGTGATCGTAAATAGGAAAATAATTGATTTATGTATCTTTGTAATATTTATTCATTATAAGCAGTTGCGATTAATTGAACTCTAATAATAAGTTTGAAGGGGTTTTGGGGTTTTGGGGTTTTGGGG